ACTCTGGGAAAAGAATTGCATTCCTGGGGGGAGGTCTATAAACAGCTGCTCTGGGAGTGTCTGCCTTATGCGATTGAGATAAGGACTGAAATATGCCCTGGTCTTCTGCAGTACCCTCAGGCTTACTAGGGTGGGGAAAAACCCCACCCTGGTGAATTTGAGGTCAGACCAGTTCTCTGCTCTTGAACCCTGTTTTCTGTTGTTTAAGATGTTTATCAGGACAATACATGCACAGCTGAACATAGAACCTTATCAGTAGTTCTGTTTTGCCTTTTTTCCTGTTTACTCTGAAACATGTGATCTTTGTTTTCCCTTTTGCCCTTTGAAGTATGTGATCTTTGCGACCTACTCACTGTTCTTGCACCCCCTCCCCTTTTGAAATCCTCAATAAAACTTGCAGGTTTTAAGGCTCCGGTGGGTGTCACGGTCCTACCAATATATGATGTCACCCCCAGAGGCCCAGCTGTAAAATTCCTCTCTTTGTACTTTTCCTCTTTATTTCTCAGCCCACCGACACTTATGGAAAATAGAAAGAACCTACGTTGAAATATTGGGGGCCGGTTCCCCTGATACCAACTGATCAAAGTATTGCCGGATATCAGTTATGCTGATTTAGTTGCCTGCACTTGACCTGTCCCTTTTCCATGACATTGGCGACTTTCTTGGCTTGGCTTTTTTCAGTCAGAAAAGCATATTTGTTTTTGAAGGAGACTGTTTGTTTTTAAAGTAAGAGTTTCAAAATGATAATAAGTTAATGATTTGAGCAATGGTTGGAGTGCACAGATGAGGCCTACACAAACTACTTTTTCATATGTAGATTGTATTCATTTTCCTGGATAGGGACAAAAACAGTATTATGTTTCCATGGGTTTGAAGTTCACATGAAAACAGGTACTTCATAATTTTTTTTAACTAACATTATGTAGTCTGAATTATAAAATGTTTATAAATGATTTAATGGATTGAGAGAAACAATATTTGTCATCCATGATTATTTTTGAAAGTGATCCATGATTATTTTTGAAAGTGAATTGCTATTAAAATTTAACTAAAACTTCATACAATTTATTGTCTTCTAAACTCTATTTTGATGAAAACACATTTTATAACTTTCATATATAACTTAAAAATCTAATTTTTCTCAAATATCTTACAAATTCACTACATTTATGATACTATAAATTAATTTCAAACAGTGAAAGCTAGAGATAACCATAGCCTGAAAATTAATCAATTTTCATTTCATAAACTCATAGATTTTTAATAATGTTGACATAAAAGATGGTTTTACATGCTATTAAGAAGAGTCACAAATGTTAAGAAGTTTACAGTCACTAACTTTCAATATAAATTTTATAAAACAGTATATCTATTTGATACAAGAACAGATAAAAATTAGACAAATGTCCAGTAGTCGGTAAGTGGATTGTGGTGTTCGTACAATAGAATACTATTTAGTAATACAATTCAATGAATTGTGGCTTCATTCATCTGGATGGATGAATTTGGAAGCCTCTGAGCAAAAGAAATAGGTCATGGGATAACACATACAGTATGATTCCATTTATATAAAATTCAAAGAGTCAAAACTAAACAATGTACAACTATGAGAAAGGGAATGAAAAACAGAAAATGTATGATGTCGTTATGGCTGGGGGAGGAAAGTGAATGTAATCAAAGAAGAGTCAAAGGTGAGTCATGTTCTATTGAGTGAGGTGGTGAATACTTACGTATTTAATGCTTATCCTTAAACTGTACATATATTTTACACTCTGGAGAAAAAGAAAGGCAGGAAAGTGGAGACCATATATGTAGATAACTCTGTGAAGAACTTTATCTTGATTGGAGAATAAAGCAGCACAGATGGGAAAAAGGTTGATGTTCACAGAGATTTTCTTCTTATGCTAAAGTACAAAAAGACTCTAAATGCCATAGAAAGTAAGGTTACACAGGAGGGGAGAAGTTGAAGAAACAAGAGGAAGGCACCTGATGACACACGCCATTTAAGTAGGTTGAAGGGAATAGGATCCAAGGCACATCTAAAGAGACTCGTCTTTTTTTTTTTTTTTTTTTTTTTTTTTACATGATTTAAATGTTTAATGACATGAGGATAAGATGGTTGATTACATCAATTCCACAAAAGAGCAAGACCTGCCGCTAGGACCAGATTCTCTAAAGTATACTTGGATGAGCACTGCCAACTATGACTCCTCTGTGTGATCTCGGGCAAGTTCCTTGTCTCACTGTGAAGAGACTCGTCTTTAAAAAGAGAAGGAATGCCACCCAATTCAATCAAAGGGGAGGGGAAAAGGACAGAAATGGGTGCAGCAAACATATACACTTGATGATGGGAAGCCTGAGGTATGTTATGTATGGTCACTTGTTCCTCTAGAATGAAGCAAAGTTATTAGCTGAGAGTGAAGGGTCAGAGTTGGTTTTCAGAAAAAGACATGAAATCTGTTTTGGCCATTAAGAGAATGTGCTGTCCACAAATAAATACACGTGAACTCTTTGGGCATTTCATCTTCCCTGTTTCTCCTGCCTCTGCTAGAATGTTTTCCCCGTTCCTTTTCATTTAGAAAATCTTCCCATCCTTCTAGACTCATCTTAGATTCTATGTCCTTTGTGAAACCTTTTTTGATTATCCCATAGTAATCCTTCCCTCTTAAATCTTACAGCACTTAGCTGTATCATTCATTTTTCATTTGACACACCATCTTGCAGTAACTCTTTTGCTTGTACATGATTTAATTTTTGCATTGTTTTGTTAACTACAGTTACTGAAGGCAGAAATCATGTCTTTATTTTTTTGAGGCTGAGTCTTGCTCTGTTGCCTAGGTTGGAGTGCATGGTGTGATCTAGGCTCACTGCAACCTCTGCCTCGTGGGTTCAAGCGATTTTTGTGTCCCAGCCTCCTGAGTAGCTGGGACTACAGGTGTGCACCACCATGTCCAGCTAATTTTTTGTATTTTTCATAGAGATGGGGTTACACCATGCTGATCTTGAATTCCTGGCCTCAGGTGATCCACCCTCCTCGACCTCCCAAAGTGCTGGGATTACAGGCATGAGCCACTGTGCCCAGCCAGAAATCATGTCTTTTTAAAACACTATTCCTCTTACTTTCACAAAAATAACGCTTTTTTTTTTTTTTTTTTTTTTTTTTGAGATGGAGTTTTGCTCTTGTTGCCCAGGCTGGAGTGCAATGGCGTGATCTTTGCTCAATGGCAACCTGCAGCTCCCAGGTTCAAGTGATTCTCCAGCCTCAGCCTCCTGAGTAGCTGGGACTACAGGCATGCACCGCCATGCCTGGCTAATTTTGTATTTTTAGTAGAGACAGAGTTTCTCCATGTTGGTCAGGCTGGTCTTGAACTCCTGACTTCAGGTGATCTGCCTGCCTTGGCCTCCCAAAGTGCTGGGATTATAAGTGTGAGCCACCACACACAGCAAAATAATGCATTCTTATGTATGGTGAATATTTAGATGCAGTTTCTAAATATATCATCTACTGAAATATCCTTAAAAGTAAATGATAAAATAATAAAGACATACATGAATAAACAGAACTTTGAATCTTCCATTTTTTTTCCTGTAACTGCTCCTGATTTTCAATTTTTGGTTTTAGAACCTCCTTTTTAGAAGCTAAGCCAGAGATCTGGTGCTAATATACAATTGGCTTAATTTTTTTAAAAAATTTAAAACAAATTTATCTTGTTTATTAAACTATTAAAATGTTTTCTTCATTACAACTTTCAATGTATTTCTTCTTGGAGATTGTTCTCCCAGAATATGAAACTGAATGTTATCAAAGACAAATTATGTTAGGAATGCCATCTTGTGGTTGACAGTAGTCCATTACACTAATTGGTCTTGACAATCTTTAATTCAGAAAGAAAACATCCATTAAATTCACGAACATAAATCATGGTTAAAATGTACTACGACAAAGGAATACAAATTAAATACATGTATCAGTTGTGTGCAGTTTCAGCTGCCAGAAAAATACAATGTTCACTGAAGAAACAACAAATTACGTAAGAATTGACTCCAAATAATATAGTGAAACTGCTGTCTATAAATACCCTCCTATTGAGACTACTCAAGTACTCTTAATTTTGGAAAACTTTCCTCTTGAAATAGATCATTTGATTTCTGTATTCACTTCTAAATAGTTCTGCTTACTGTTTCATCCTGGACTTCAGTTATGTCTTGATTTTCAAACATCATCACCCTAACCATAAACATCCAAAAGACAGCGAAGGACAGAGTACATATTTAATTTAGACAGTGTGAGAAACACATTAGTTGTAGTCCAAAATGGAATTTGAGGAGGGTTAAAAACACTGGCCATAGTCAGCTGCAGAGGCTCACGCCAGTAATCCTAGCACTTTGGGAGGCCGAGGTGGGTGGATCACCTGAGGTCAGGCGTTCAAGACCAGCCTGAAAAACTTGGCGAAACCCCATCTCTACTAAAAACAAAAAAATTAGTCATGCGTGGTGGTGCATGCCTGTAATCCCAGCTACTTGCGAGGCTGAGGCAGGAGAATCACTTGAACCTGGGAGGCGGAGGTTGCAGTGAGCTGAAACTGCGCCAAACAAAAACAAAAACAAAACAAAACACTGGCCCTAATCCTAATAGAAGAGTTTACTACTTCCTCCATTCAAGTTAGCCATTTTGAGTGGTAAATTAACTTTCTAATAGAGAACTATTCACTAGTTACAGATGTAGTACCTGAAAACTAGGCTTAAATATTGTAATTGCCAAATAGTGTAGCAGACATTTTGGTCCACGTAACAGTGAGGGTGTGCGAGTGGAAACTGATATACCCCACATGAGCACAAGGCAAAGCATGACAGCTCAAAGGTCCGTGCACTGTGTTACCTTTTGTCACTTCTAGATTAAAGATCTGAGGAGGTGCCATGGAGGTCTAATGTCAGCCCTAGAGACCAGACTATTGAAATTCCAAACAGATATAAAGATATTTACATAAAAGACAAAATGCTACTGTACTCCAAATCAGTGTTTGAGATTTATTATTGCATGCTTATAGCCAGAAAAAAAATTTTACTCTGAAAGCTTTCATATGAATTGATTTTGGATAAGTTTTTCCACATGACTCTTCAAGACATTCATATCAGCTGCACAGACCTGGTACTCCATCTTCTCTTGCTGTTTTGTTCTCTCTAATAAAGCCTCATGCAGTGGAGGTAATGCATTGTATGAACCCAGTAAATACAGCTGACTTGATGAAGTCTCATTGATTTCTTTAATCTTTAAAGCCTGCATGATAGCAGGTGCAAACTTTGAGTAATGGGCTGTAGATGAGACAATCACAGGGCAAGTTTTGTCTTGCACCCTATCTGCAACCACTTTTGCAACAGCAGTGTGTGGATCCAAAATATACCCTGAAGTATTATAGGTGGAGTTAATAGCTGCTAGGCACTCTCCCTCAGAGCACCAGTCAGCTACAAAATCCTGCTGAAGTTTCTCAACTAGAACCTTTTCTATCTGGAAGTGATGCTGACTTTCTAATTGATTAAATAATTCTGTCATTAGTTGTCCATCTTTATTAGCCATCAAGTGTAAATGTCGTTCTAGGTTTGAAGATTTGAGAATATCTATCGACGGTGAAAAAGTCTGTGCTAATTTTCTTTCCCTTAGATCATAATGTCCTGTTTTTATAAAATCAGTCAAAACACGGTTCTGATTAGAGGCACAGATAAATTTTCGAATTGGGATTCCCATCATTTTGGCATACACTGCTGCTAATATGTTACCAAAGTTTCCTGTGGGAATACAGACATCGACTGGGCTTCCAAAAGAAATAAATCCTTGACTAACAAGATCGAGATATGCGGAAGCATGATAAACTACCTGCGGAAGTAGTCGGCCCCAGTTTATGGAATTAGCCGAACTTAAAATTGTTCCATATTCCACAGTAAGAAAGCCAGTAAAATCAGAATCGTTAAAAATTCTTTTTATAGCTGTCTGGCAAAAATCAAAATCTGACTCAACACCCACTGCCCATCCATTTTCTCTCTGACTGCCAATTATTTGTGCTTTTTGAAAATCACTTACTCCATTCTCAGGAAAAAATGTGACCACAGCTATCCTTTGCTTATCATTCTTATTAAGACGACTAAAACCATTTAAGACTGCACTCCCTGTGTCTCCTGAAGTAGCTACAAGTATCATGTAATTGCAACTTGGTGGGATACAGTGTGCAAAAATATGAGGCATAAGCTGTAAAGACAAATCTTTAAATGATCCTGTTGGTCCATGAAATAACTCCAGGATGAACTGGTTGCCTGAAAGGTGCCTGACAGGAGCAATTTTTGAGCAGGCAAAGTTTTCCCCATAAGCAGTTTCAATCATTTCTCCCAACCTGGCAGCAGGTATGTCTGCAGGATGGATACATCTTTCCAACAGTATCTGTGCTCTTTCTATGTAGGTTGCTCCTACTAGGCTTTTCCACTCCCCACAGCTTAATTTTGGAAACTCCTTCGCAGGAACAAAGAGTCCACCATCAGAAGCCAACCCCTCAATTACAGCTTCACTAAAAAATTTTGCTGAAACCTTCTGTTCACAGTCTTTAGGCCAAACGTGTCTTGTTGAAATGAATGTTTCCGAGTCCACATCTTGGTATCTTTTAATTGCATTCAGCACTTTGTCAGCTACCTCCTCTGGGGAAGCCCCACTTTCACAGAAAACACGAGCATCATACCACTTCTTATAATACTGTCTTCTAAATTTAAGTAAGTCTTTCATAGATGTTCCAGAATTCCGACCTACAATCCTATCTATCTTCATTAATTTCAGACGATGAATTAGATCTAGTAGAGGTACATCCAGGTATACAATTACTCCATTTTTCTTCAGATGCCACATGCTAGCATCATGCATTGGATTGGACCCAGTAAGGGAAATCACACTTCCAGATGCAGAGAAGTTTAACACAGCTTTTCCTTCCTCTTCTAAAAATTGCTCATTACCAACATCCTGTAATTTTTCAGACACACTCATATTCCAGGTTTTTTCAAGGATATCATCATCTACATCTATGACACAACAACCTAGTTTCTGACCTATTATTCTGCCTACTGTTGTTTTCCCAGCACCAGGAGGTCCCATCAGGATAATATTTTTGTCTCCAACAAGAGAGTGGGTGGAATACCATGACTTCCTTAATTCCGCAAGTGCAAAGGTTCTTGAAAGAAATTGCTGTGCGTGTTTATCCGTTTTAACATGTATACTAGAAAAACATTTCTGTGTTATCTTTTTCAGATGCTGACATCGGTTAAAGTGGAACATTCTCTTTTCACTTTTCTGCCCACACCAACCTAAAAATGGGCTTTAGCCCTTTTCAAAACACAAAACAAACAAACAAACAACAAAAGATAATTTGGTTACTAATTTCAGTAGATTGTTAAAATCCCAACAGGATTGAATATAACCATGCCCATGGTACATAAACTGTTTAAAAATCTGCCAAACTTATGGAATTTAAAAAAAGTATTCCAACCCAAATTCTTATATATTGCATATTATCCTTCTTAATGATATCTTTTAAAATCTCAAGACACTGAAAAATCAAAACTTCGACAAAATTTGTAACTATAAACAACAGAAACTTGTATTCACAGAGTGCCAGATTGTAGATGCTTTTAAAAGTATATATATACTAAATCAAATTACTATTTCTTTTCGTATTGAGATCTTTTAATGGAAATTATTTCATGGTTTATCTGTTTATATCACATATAAAGATGATTTGGAGTTGGAGTGCTATCTACTTAGAATTCACAAAAGTTGAATAATATTCTTTATATTTAATTTCTCTTCAGTTATATGAACATCATGATAGACTATATTACTCATAAATTTCTTACAGAATTCATAACAGGAAACCAGAATAAAAGAACATATTTGCTTATAAAATGCTTAGTTTTCCAAACTACAGAACAAAGGTATGATATTTTCTTTCTTATGTGCCTTTTACATGCATATTAAGAATCATTGTGACATATTATTCATACTGAAGGCTTTAAAAAGAGCCAAAGTGAAAGGTATACTATTATACAAATAGTTAAGAAAAATTAATAATCAGCAATGAGGTCAAAGGCTACATATAACCTTATCTGCATGGAACCATCATTTTTGTTTCTAATCCTATAATCCTCAGTGGAGAGATTTAACTCAATTTCCAGGCCCGGGGCAATAGCCAAGAACCTCAGGAATGTTTCCAATGATGAGAGAAAACAATTATTCTGGCATCCAAAGAAGCTCTATAATTTCCCATATTGACCAAGTCCTTGTCTTTGGAAATATACTCACCATTAAAACAAAAATGTATGCCAGACAAGTCAAGTCTTTGGTTATGTAAAATGCAATATAATACCTCTGCAATGTTCATGTAAACTGCCTGAAGTAATGTCACAGACACATAGTGGGGCTTATCACGTGTTCTCTGGTAGAACCAATATGCAACTAAAACATATTAAATACTAGATAATATGTTTAAGTATGTGCTGAAAACTTTTAATCATGTAATACTGACTTTCTATGCTACTTAAACTCTGTTTCGTAATTAAACATTTAAATGATTTTAAGCTAACTCTGAATTTAACTTACAAGTAAAATTAGAGCCGTCAAGGGAAGTAATTCATTTCCTTATTTGACTTTTCAAGTTGTATGTGCTGTGCTTAATTTCCACTGACTTGTAAACACAGGACACACCAGAACCAATCTGAAGAGTTGGTTGACTCTGAGGCAAAACTGATCTTTGCAAAACGTGGAGTCTATAATGGAAAAAATTTTAAGTTAATTATAACTGTATACAGTATCATAAAATTCTACATATAGACTAGTCTATTATTTGAAAAGCTCATCTGCAATTTTAAAAATACAGAAAAGTTGACCCTTTTCATGTTTCCCCAACTCTGTTATTAGATTAAGATACCGTTTTTAAACATGTGTGTCTCATTATAAAAATAATTTCACTAAACAGTACGGAAGGAATTTCTACCATCAAGCAATAAAAAACCAAATAATAACAAATACAAAACCTTTCAGAAGGATACCTGGAATTTTAACGATTTTGCTGTATAATGATCAGAGGGGAAAAAAAATCAGTGGACTACAGCTATGAAATTAGTGTCTGAATTGTTTTTTAGGCTGTATTATCTATCAAAATCACTATATATTCATATGTAACAATATCCACTATAAAAAGCCCAAAAAAACTCTTGCCACAAAAAGATCTCTTTTAGCTATATAAGTGTCTCTATAATAAAATCAAAGCACATATCATAGTGGTTAGCACAAAATATTTACAGTAAGATTAATCATTGTCACTCACTGACAATGAGCTAGGAATATATAAATTGAATCCAAATATGTAGGTATAAGGCAATGTGCATTTTTTTTTTATGGCTTGGTTTATAAACCTTCAGAGAATACAGTGGTGTTCAACCATGAATCAAGAACTGTTTTGCCACACACAGTCTAATCCTTTCCCTGAAGTAAACCAGGGACCAGAAAGAATTATATACTTGAATCATAACATCAATTTATTTTATTAAACGGTATTCTGGTACTGGACTTTAAAAGCACAAGCTGCTTTTAGGGCACTTATGTAAAACAGTTTGATTAACCTCCTATTCAGGAAGCTTTTGCTTGCAACATTACAGTCTCTTCTTTTTGAGTTTGCAATACATAACTTTCTGGTATCTGTATCAGTAATAATTGTATATAATCTGAGTGGCTGGTTTTCAAGTACAGTAATTTTTTTTTTTTTTTTTTTTTGAGTAAGGGTCTCCCACCGTCACCCAGGCTGGAGTGCAGTGGCATGATCTCAGTTCACTGTAGCCTCAACCTCTTGGGCTCAGGTCATCCTCCCACCAGGTGTGCACCACCACACCCAGCTAATTTTTGTAGGTTTTGTAGAGACAGGGTTTCACCATGTTGCCCAGATTGCTCTTGAACTCCTGAACTCAAGCAGTCCTCCCACCTTGGCCTCCCAAAGTGCTGGGATTACAGGGATGAGCCACCACACTGGCCCAGTAAATCTTTCATCTTTTCTTCTGCTTTATGTTGCTTGCTACCATGCCTAACATCAACTTCATTAAAAGTAGATTGTAAGGCAAACATTATGTTACCTTCACCTTATGTTTTGCAATCTTACTTTTCCTATATATTAGTTCCCCTCTACCCTCTCGTTTTAAAATTTTACTTCCCTTTTTCAAGACTTTGGGGTAGACATATATATATATTTTTCTTTTAATTATGACAGTTCAATTTGTAAATTCTGTATCAGTATTTCCCAAAAACATGTTCCTTAGACTAGGAGAAGGCAGTTAAGTACTATATTATTTCTAAAGAACAATAAAGATACATTCTATTTTAAGATACATACTAAATTTTATTTTGTAACATTTAACCACAAATTAATTTTAGGGGCTCAACATTTTTTAACAAACCAAATGAGGAAAAGATATCCTCATTTTCTTTTTGAGAATGTCTGCTGCAATGGCCAGTCAGGAATATACACAGAAGGCATATATATGGACTTCACCAAAGCATTATCCACGGTTCACTAAATATTTGTTCAATTCACGGAGAAATGGAAAAAAGGATTTGAGGATATTGTTGAATGATCATAAAAAATGGTTCTGTTGAATAGAGGGAAATTTCTGGTAGTGCACTCCAAGGCTTTCGGTCTCGATACTCTTCTCTTTAATGTGTTTAACAATTATTTGGATTAAGCATTGAGAGAGATATTGGATAATTAGTGGTTAACAGGACGGACTTCAGAGAAAAATCTGCAGATGTGCAAGTCCTTTATATAAAATGGTGTAGTATTTGCATATAACCTGTGCACATCCTCCTGTATACCTTAAATCATCTCTGAATAACTTATAATACGTAACACAATGCAAATGCTACGTACAGAGGTGGTATACTAATTTGCTTTTTTATTTGTGGTATTTTTACTGTTCCATTATTTTCGTGTTTTTGTTTTTCAGACAGGCTCCCACTCTGTTGCCCAGGCTGGAGTGCAGTGGCACAATCTTGGCTCACTACAGCCTTGACCTCCTAGGCTTAAGCAATCGTCCCATCTCAGCCTCACAAGTAGCTGGGACTACAGGCACGCACCAATATACCCAGCTAATTTTAGTATTTTTTGTAGAGAGGGAGTTTCGCCATGTTGCCCAGGCTGGTTTCCAATCCCTGGGCTCAAGCAATCTTCCTGCCTTGGCCTTTGAAAAGTGCTAGGATTGCAGATATAAGCCACTGCGCCCAACCAAAATACTAAAATATTTTCAATCTGTAGTTAGTTGAATCTGAGAATGGGAAATTCACAGATATGGAGATCCAACTGTGTATCAGGACACAAACTAGCCAAAAGGAGGTTAAGCTCTACTGCTTCTGACTTCTAATCAAAAATTCTCTCAAACCCTTCTTTCAAAGGGCCTCCCACTTGCCATGAAATAGAGGTGAGGGTGGAAGGACCACACAAAGTATTGTTCTGTAATCACAAGGATCTTACAACCAAAACAATTAATTTTGCAAGTTCATCACTTAAGTCTTTATATTACTATCAAAGCTAAGCCTTTTCTGCCGTTAGACTTCTGCTGTTAGACATGTTCTTAATGATCTCAAATATTTAACTGAAAAAACTTAAGTATCCACAATTCTGTAACTTTGAGAATTATAAAGACCCTGTCCCATTCATGTGCTCATACATTTGTTCATTTGTTCAGTATTGTCTTTGGCTGCTTTTGAGCTACAGTGGCAAAAGTGAGTAGTTGCAACATAACCACTTGGCCCGCAAAGGCCTGAAATATTTACCGTCTACCCCGTTACAGATAGTTTGTTCATCCCTATAGGTATATACCAGTTAATTCCCTGTGGACATGAGGTGGACACGGGCATTTTTTTTGAACTGTCATTTCAAGAGAATTATAAAAACTTGAAATAATTTTGCTTAAACACACTTTCGAAAGGCAAGGAGAATTGCAGATCAAATGTCTAAGAAAAAAGAAAAGTTCTTTTCCAAATGATTTAACAACCTGCTCATGACTGTACACTAACCATACTACAGTGAGGTCTAGCACGAATTGTTTAGCATTTTTTAAAGCATAATAAATATACAGACATCAGTTAAATTATTTTATTTCAATAACCCCAGAACATCAAGGCTACCTAAGGCCAGTTAGTGCTAACTGCAGAAATCATGTTTTGCCCTTACTTGCTATTTCAGGAACTGATTAACACAAATAGTCTCAAGGTGTTCCTTCTAATTAGAAAATTTATAAGCTTTAGTCTTTGACTATCCACTTGGCTAATGGTGTTATTATTCCATGAGTCCTTGGTTTGAATCTTCGTAAATACAGGAAGTTTCCCGCCAAAATTTTTCTCTACACTTGCTAAAACAGAAACCCCAAACATAAAATACTCAAGGGCGAAAAGAAAAGGACAAAGTGATATAGATTTAGATCCAGATCTAAATATAGATCTATAGATCTATCTATCTAAAATGTTTTGGAAGACAATCTGATGTGAAGAAATCTGGAGAATTTTCCCTAAGCGTCTGGGACAAAAATTAAAAACAAATGTATACAAAAAAAAAAAAAAAAACTTACTGTATTCTTATCTAGTGCAATTCAGTAAGAGCCCAAAATAAGGATCTCCACATTCAGTAAAGCCTTTTTATACAAACTAAAAGGTTCACCAGGCCATTGTGTTGTTTTAATGTCTCCACCAGGCAACCAGGCAGTGAGAAACCCAAACTCCTGTGTTTTCTCTCCTCTCCGGGAAGCTTTATTTCCTTCGGGCAGAGTGGCCTCTGTACGGGTGGCTCAGAGCCATCCATTTTCCTCCCCAAATCCTATTACCAAAATGTCTTTTAAACACTCAGGTAAAAGCGTCTACGTGACTTTCCTATGGCAGTCCTATGTGCGTAGATTTACGGGTGACTAGGCGGAGCAAAAACGAATAAAACTGCTTCTCAGAAGACAATTTTCAACATGGGACGCCAAAAACTGGACAAAAACGTAAAGGCCCACTTAAAAGGCTCTCCTCCTAGTTTAGGATGCTCATTTACAAAAAGCAGGTCCACTGGTTCCTGGAGAAGGACCTAGAGGAAGGGTCCCGACCGGGGCGGGGGGGCGGGGGGAGAGCAGGCGCAGAGCAGACCCCGAGGGCCGCCCAAGAGGCTGTAGCGGGCGCAGGCGTGGCAGGGCAAAGGCAGCAGGCGGAGGCCGCCGCGGGTCCCGGGCGCGCACTCACACAGGTGGCGGGCAAGGCTTCGCGGGGTTCCGAGGGGCCTCGACCAGAATCGGCAGGAAAAATGCGCGCAGAGTTAAGATGACCAGCGAGTAGCGGAAAGGGGAAGGGACGGTGCAGGGAAAGGCATGCGATGGGAGCGGGGTGGCTTCCAGTTTTCCTTTCTCTCTCCTCCAGTAACTCACCAAGGAAATCTCATTGAGAAGACGGGGAAAATGAAAGGAAATGGGGAAGCAGTTTCCACGAACCGCTAAAGCCGATACAGGAGACGGAGCACCGTACCTCCGGCTAGTTCCCCGGTCCCGCCCCCGCGCAGTGGACTCTGCCTGTGCCTGCGGCGGCCAGCGTACCTCCGCTCCACGCCCACGCCAGGAGCAGCCTCGCGCAGGGCACGTGACCTCCTCTCTCACTGTAGCCTATCCAAGCACTCCGAGCTCCTCGGGCTCCTCCCCTTCCTCGTCCCGCTGGCGGCCTTGGCCGTGCGTCCGCTTGGTCTCAGCCGATCGCTCCGCCCACACCGGGATTGGGGCCTGCTCACAAAAACGTTATTGTGTCACGCCTGCGCACCAGCTGCGCTTTGCTGTGTCTGCAGTAGGGTTTTTCTTTTTCCCCAGATACACAGAGATAGAAAAGAGCAGTTTTTAAGGGGACACCATTTTCACCCCGTTAACTTTCAAAGGCACGTAAAAACAGTGGCTTCCAAATGAGCTTCTCCAGTAGAAGGCGATACAGAAAGAGGGGAGACCTAGTTTGCAGTGCCGCCGTGTACTTCCTCGTTGCCTAGTAACGGTTTCCACGGCAACCGCACAGTCAACGACGCTTAGCAATCCCGGGAGAAATAGGGTGTTTTCTTCCCGAGAGAGGACTGCTAAGAGGGGGTCAAAGGGGGGACGATGTGAAGGAGAGAAACTGGTCCTTGAGAAGGCGAAGAAGTAAGAAAGGGGAAGCAGTGAAGGAGGACAGAGATACTGGGACAGGGAGAAAAAAGCTGAGAATAGCTTTTAAGGAGTCATTTGGTGACCATGGATCCAACGTGCCCTTCTGAGTGCATTTATAACCTCATACCCAGTGACTTGAAGGAGCCTCCCCAGCCTCCTAGGTATGTGGATAAGCAAACACCATCACTTGAAACAAGAATGGGGAATAGTCAGTATTAATTAAACATACATATACTGGGATTTTTAATAATAAAATGTATTTATGCCTCGATGAAGTAGCCTTGGAGGATAACTTGTTAGAGAAAAGGTCGAAATATCTAGGTATTTAGCATCTCACAGTTTTACAGAGAGGGCAGTCCGGCGCTGTGAGATGACCATTTGATTATATTACACTTAACCTCTTACTAATACTGCATATGATTATTGTGTAATTTAATTATATGTGATATGTATACAACATAGCACGAAGTTTCATGTTGTTGAAAAGAGAAAAATAACAATTCTGTTACCTTGTTTAAGTATACTTGATGTTTGGTTTCAGGAGTTCGGTGTTGTATTTCTAACTGCACTACTTCTCCCTCTCTAATGGGATAGTACTTATCTTTCCCCCCAAGATTTTTATGAAATATAAATTTACATTTGCTCTTGAACCTCAGGTTTTTGATCAGTGAAACGAAATATCTACTACTATTAGGCAGTTTCTAAGGACTTTTTCAGATCTAATGGTTTAATGGAAGAAAGACTTGGTGGATAATGAACCAAAAAATATGTAATTGAGTTGAAATTTTACATAGGTCTTAGAACCTCTTATATTCTCCAAATCTCAAAAACGTGCAGAGGAAGCACTTCAGTTACTCCCATCTGTAGGGACTTCTTAGAACTTACTTAAATCTGTGGGGAGCAAAGAAAGTAGTGGAGAAAATCTCAGCTCTCCTAGGACTTGAAATGTTTCCTGTCTTTTACCATCACGCCTGTTGGTATACCATCACCTTGTCGGACTGAAAATCAGGCCTAGCGATTAATTGTCTTTGTGATCTTGGATAAAGTTTCATTGGTTTACTGATCTGTGAGATAAATGTACTAGGTAATATCCAAGGCCCCTTTTAGATCTAATGGTCAATTATTTTTACTAGTATTAGGGTAATAGCTCAACAAGTAGGCAGCTTCTTCAACTTTAAATATTTGGTTTAAACCAGAGCAGTAACTATATTTATTACTTTTCCATCAGCATATCAAAATCTAGAGATTGGAAAGAGGAATATAAAGTAAGTTATCGCACGGTTGCAGAATTTATGAGTAGAGTTCAAATTGTCTATTGTTGAACCAACTTTTGGTTTCAAATTCCTGCATATTACACGAGATAAAACTCCTCCTCTCTGTAACACATTGGTAGATTGTATTTCTATAGAATATTGAATTTGAGTGTTATTTTGTTAAGTAGGTACTCTGTTCTTTGGCAAATTGAAAAGTTGTACTGCATCTAGACGATTTTTTTTTCGAAAACATTTATAGGAACAGTCTTTATTCATTTGGCAAGCATTAATGGAGCCCCAATTATGTGTATAATATTGCACTAGTATATCTGTTCTTGGTGCTGTTGGAGTGATAGCACAGACTTCTTGGTTTTACTATAAAGAAATGAGTAGAAGAAAGATTTGTGATGAGAGGAAATAGAGGCACCCAAATGTGATGCCACAAGAATCATTTCTGTTAGGTTAAAGTCAATTTACACTGTCAAGATTCTGACAACTGCCCACCTTTTGATCTCCCACGCCTCAGAGTTTACAGTCTTTTTGGGGAACTGAAATATGAACACTAAAATTTATCATTGAAAACCCTAATGAGAGATGAAGATACTAACTGAGAACTTAGAAGATGAATGTATGTGACCAAAATCGGATGAAGGGCACTTTTCTGCAGTTGAACTATTGGCTGAGACTTAAGTTATGAAAGTCTCAAAGTCAATGGGAAGTCATGATTCAGTTTTCAAAATCTGAGTTACTCATGATGCATAAGATGGTTTCCAAGATTTTCACCAAATCTGTCACCCTTTTTTTTTTTTAATTAATTTTCTTTCAGACAGAGTTTACTCTTTTTGCCCAGGCTGGAGTGCAGTAGTGCCATCTCGGCTCGCTGCAACCTCTGCCTCCTGGATTCAAGCGATTCTCCTGCCTCAGCCTCCCAAGTAGCTGGGATTACAGGCCCCTGCTACCATGCCCGGCTAATTTTGTACGTTTAGTAGAGACGGGGTTTCACCATGTTGGCCAGGCTGGTCTTGAACTCCTGACCTCCAGTAATCAACCCACCTCTGCCTCCCAAAGTGCTATGATTATAGGCATGAGCCACTATGCCTGGCCTATCACCCTTTATTGATGTCTGCAGTTATTGAATATCTCCAGTCATTCCCTCTTTCCATTTTGTTTAAAGCAATATTCCAGTTATGGTCTGAACAGTCCATGAAACCATTATCTCTTTTCCATAATTCTTGGCACAATATTTTCATCCATTCAGCCTAAGCTTCCATAAGTATTTTGACAGTCGTGTCCAACTGTTGGCTCACATTGAAATACCCTGTATGGATTTTGACTAAGGTTGATCTCTCCCATCCTCTAATTATGTAGCTGATTCCTTTTTATCTCAACTCATTAATCTATGGAGATCATTTTGAATTTGAATCTTTTATACATTCTGTTAACCATTCTTCCCAGCTTTGTGTCATTTGCAAATTTAATAAGTTTGTCTTTTATATCTCTTATCTATCATTGAACATGGTATATTAGTCTGTTCTCACACCGCTAATAAAGACATACTCAAGACTGGGTAATTTATATTTAAAAAGAGGTTTAATTGACTCACAGTTCCACATGACTGAGGAGGCCTTACAATCATGGCGGAAGGCAAAGGAGGAGCAAAGTCACATCTTACATGGTGGCAGGCAAGAGAGTGTGTGCAGGGGAACTCCTCTTTATAAAACCATCAGATCTCATGAGACTTATTCACTATCATGAGAGCAGCACAGAAAAGACCCACCCCCATGATTCAATTACCTCCTACCAGGTCCCTCCCATGACGTGGGAATTATGGGGTCTCATCAATTCAAGATGAGATTTGGGTGGGGACACAGCCAAACCATATCATTCTACCCCAGCCCCTCCCAAATCTCATGTCCTCACATTTCAAAACCAATCATGCCTTCCCAACAGTCCCCCAAAGTCTTAAATCATTTCAGCATTAACTCATAAGTCCACAGTTCAAAGTCTCATTTGAGACCAGGCAAATCCCTTCTGCCTATGAGCCTGTAAAATTAAAAGCAAGTTAGGTACTTCCCAGATGCAATGGGGGTCCAGACATTGGGTAAATATAACCATTCAAAATGGCAGAAATTGGCCAAAACAAAGGGGCTATAGGCTCCTTGCAAGTCCAGATTCTAATAGGGCAGTCATTAAACCTTTAAGTTCCAAAATGATCTCCTTTGACTCCATGTGTCACATGCAGGTCACACTGATGCAAGAGATGGGTTCCCATGGTCTTGGGTAGCTCTGCCCCTATGACTTTGCAGGGTACAGACCCCCTGCTGGCTGCTTTCATGGGCTGGGGTTGAGTGTCCGCAGCTCTTCTGGGTACATGGTGCAAGCTCTTAGTGGATTTATCATTCTGAGGTCTGGAGAACAGTGGCCCTCTTCTCACAGCTCCACTAGGTGGTGACCCAGTAGAGACTCTGTTGGGGGGCTTCAACCCCACATTTCCCTTCCACACTGCCCTAGCAGAAGTTCTCCATGAGGGCTCTGCCTCTGAAGCACATCTTTGCCTAGACATCCAGATATTTTGATACATCCTCTGAAATCTAGATGGAGGTTCCCAAACCTCAATTCTTGACTTCTGTGCA